GACGAGAATGAATGAGCAAAACTCCCGCGGCGAGTAGAAAGGCTTACAGTTAATGAAGAGCACTTCTAGATCTGGACAGCACATCTTCTTTAACACAGTTACATCTGTACACCACCTCTCATTGATGTAAAAGCATGTCCCGCCGCTGCGTGATTTCCACGTTGATTCTGCGTCGTGATCCGCTCTGAACAGCTGAAACCCCAGGAGACTCAACGCGCTGTCCAGAATGGCGTCTTTCAGCCAGGTTTCAGTGAAACACAGAGCAGCAGAATTTGAAAAATCCTTATTTGTCCGGGTTGCAGGGATATAACTAAAGACAGGACAAACTAACAAAAACATAAAAACAACTGCGGAACACGCCACAGAGGCAGCCATCACCGTCGGCGCCATCTCACATCGGCGTGATATGTGATATGAGTGATTATGTGTGTTTGTTGCTATTGTGAAAGAATGACTTGATTTAAGACACTTAGGGCCAGATTAACTAACAGCTTGCGTCTGCGCAAACCTTCTTTTGGCGTTAAAATAGAACTGTCAAGATTTACTAAAGACGCACAGTGAAGAATTAGCGCTAAAAAGGCACGGATACATTTATATTTGCACCTGACCTTATTGAATATGCATTTGTAGGAGTTTCCCTTTCAGACGCAAAATTTATGGGAGGAGAGTATTAAAATGAATCACGCAGCACGATTTACTATCGTTTGAGCTTGTCTAATTACTGGTATTTGCGCCATTATTTAATGCTCCTAAAATGCATGTCTTAAAGCAGACGCTAATTTGCGCTGTTCTTAGTAGATTGTGTTGGTCATTATGGAAATGATCTGGCTACGTCTGTGTTCGTTAATCTGCGATTTGTCAGTAAATCAACTGCAGAAATTTCCACTCCCATTAGCGCTTTTTTGGAATTGCACTCTTACGCTAATTTGCCGTTTAGTAAATCTGGCCCTTACAATATGAAGTGGTTTGGTAGTTTAAGTGCATTTTGGATGTGAAATTTACTGCTGTGCCAAGCTTAAGGTTGGTAAGGAAAACTGTGTGAAGAGTTGTGAAAAAATGACCTATGACCCATTTTTAGAGTCAGAAGCTTGACAGGTGCTGACTGTAGTGGTTCAAAAGGGCCAACCAGACCCTCAAGCACTACAGCTAAGTCCCAAGAAAGGACCCTCACTCTGGTGGGCGGCCTCAACCACTTAGCTCCATGAATGAAGTGAGTGACTAGAGGGTGTTTTCCTACAGAGACCCCGTCAATCAGAGTGTGGCAAGCTGAATGGCGGCCACATAGACTCTGAGAGTACCAGGACATGTGCCTGAGAACAATTTTTCTTGCAGGAACTCCAACACTGAAACAACTTAGCAGTGAGCTGGGTCTGCACGGCATGTCATACACCAAATTTCAAAAACATTTCATGTGAGGGCATCACTTCTTCTAGTGGAGGGAGCCCTAGCATTTAGAATAGTCTGCACTACATCAGCTGGAAGTCCAGCATCTCTTAGTTGGTCCCCCTCAGAGGCCAAACATGAAGGTTCCAGGACTCCCGGAAGCAGAGCGATCGGGGAAAATGTGTTGGGGCACACCCCCACGGTCCTGGGCACGTCAGCCTCAGGACTTCTTCTTGGCCACAATGATGGATCCTATCCGGCTTCCTACTGGGTTGCAACCCAATCTCTATGAGGGTGCGCACGACTCGCCACGCTCTGGTTTTGTTCTTCTCTCTGCAGAGGAGCCGGCCTGACCCCTGAGCATGGCGGGGAAAAACTTATTGAAAGCCTCTGCTAGTCTTTTGGCCTCCCAGAACCTACTGGACAGTTTTTCTTGCAGGAACTCCAACACTGAAACAACTTAGCAGTGAGCTGGGTCTGCACGGCATGTCATACACCAAATTTCAAAAACATTTCATGTGAGGGCATCACTTCTTCTAGTGGAGGGAGCCCTAGCATTTAGAATAGTCTGCACTACATCAGCTGGAAGTCCAGCATCTCTTAGTTGGTCCCCCTCAGAGGCCAAACATGAAGGTTCCAGGACTCCCGGAAGCAGAGCGATCGGGGAAAATGTGTTGGGGCACACCCCCACGGTCCTGGGCACGTCAGCCTCAGGACTTCTTCTTGGCCACAATGATGGATCCTATCCGGCTTCCTACTGGGTTGCAACCCAATCTCTATGAGGGTGCGCACGACTCGCCACGCTCTGGTTTTGTTCTTCTCTCTGCAGAGGAGCCGGCCTGACCCCTGAGCATGGCGGGGAAAAACTTATTGAAAGCCTCTGCTAGTCTTTTGGCCTCCCAGAACCTACTGACGAATGTATTAACGGAGCTACCAAATAGGCCGGAAGGCGACACGGGGGCATCAAGGAAGAATATATTTTACCTCCCTCTCCTTGATACCTGTGAGGTTGAACCACAGATGCCTCTCCGTAGTAACCAAAGCAGCCATTAAACGATGGTGCTGGCCGTTTGCTTGGTCGCACAGAGAGACAGATCTGTGGCCAGTCACAGCTCTGAAAATGCCTCCTCACTAATGAGTGAGAAAGCTCGTCATGGAGATCAGCAAAAAGGGGAGAGACCGACATAGATGGATGTAATCTGTCATCCAGCTTGGAGGTTCTAGGGTCTCTTGCTCCTGTGGCCAGTCTAATTAAACCTGGACACCACACGAGTCACCACCGCGAGTAATTCCTCAAATGCTTTGTTATCGTGTGAGAAGCAGTGCTTTCAACTTCCATATTGCCGGAAGCAAGAGAACCCATGTCCTCAGCTCGCTCTGAAGAAGTGCAGGAGCACGCTTCAGCAGCAGGCACAAGATCATCATGATCTGGCGAGAGCATAAGAGAAAGGGATGTGCCCGTCTCTCAGCTCTCAGCCAGCTCAATATGCGAGCCCCATGATCTTAGCGAGGATGCAGAGTCTAGCCCCTCCTGAAAGAAAACGAATCTAGAGTGGTGCACTCTGATGGGCAATAAAAGCTTAAAGCTTTTAGAATACTTTAGAGTCATATATATTTTTTTTCTTTGGAAAAGCTGAATCCTGCTCTTAACGTAACAGCAGCACACATAGAACACACAGCACACAATGCAGTCTCTAAAGACAAAGAAACCCAATGGCGCCTCCATTTCATATCTATTTTTAGCCTCTCACAAGCACACGTTTCAATGACGTCACTGACAGAGGTTATTTAAGCCAAATCCTTATCGTGTTTCCCACACATGCTTCACAACCGGTCAAACTTGTTTGTAACTTCATTCTAATGTTAGCGAATTTGTAGTAGGCTATTCTAAATTAGCAACGGTGTGTCTGAGATTAATCATTTGCGTAAAACTTGTCAAATCATCTCCATTTAAGGGGTTCTAGTACAACCTTTCTTCCACAGCCTTTTGTCACTCTCAGCAAACACATGATGCTCTCTAAAAAAATTGAGAGCACCTATAGCAAGATCTTCCGGCAATGCCAAGCATGCTGTCCTCAAAACTAGTCTTAACACAATTAAAAAGCCAAGCAGAGTACGTGATTTTGTGTACGTGTTGTTTATTCATAAATGTAGAATAGATTTTAGTATGTAAAGTATTGGTTAATCATGATTTGTTCATGAAAGTGTCTGTATGCAGATTTCACGCTCAAATATATTCATACGCATGGTTAGTGAATAAGACGCACTGTTTATTTAATGTGTGTTTGTGTGTTCAGACATTGATGAATGCAGCAGTGGAGAGCTTGTGTGTCAGAGAAATGCAGACTGCATCAACCGGCCGGGAAGCTATCAGTGTGAATGTTCTGATGGGTATATACTCACACCTAACGGAGCCTGTGCTGGTGAGTGGTTACAGACACTACCACTGTTTTGTGGGCTGTGCATGAGTTTGTGTAACATTAAAACACACACATGCAGAAAACCCAAGAGCTTTCCAAAAGCTACACATTTTCTAGACTTTAAATGGTGTAGGCCTAAATCACAACATTATGATGTCTGTGAGTGAAGGCATACTCTCATAGTTTCTAAATGTCTCAAATTAATTATAATTGTCTTACCAAAGAACTGTGAGCGTTTGGAATAACAAGTATTGAAACTCAGTGATTTGAGTCTTACATAGCAATCTCTGTGTGATTTTCAGACCGTAACGAGTGTGTGGAGGCACCCAGCATGTGTCGTCATGGTGATTGTGTGGACTTTCCAGGAGGATACGAGTGTGTGTGTCACACCGGCTTTACTGCGACACAAAACCGCAGGATGTGTGTAGGTAAGAGCTCCTCAAATCTGTATCAGAACTACTCCATCATTACCAGTGTTCGGTAGGCCACTCTATGAAGGCTATGTTCAAACAAAGTGTGGTTCACATCAGAGATGGTGTATTTCACTCAAAGCACTTGCCTGTGAAAGGTGTTTATAGCGGGTGTTTTTATCTTCTGTAGATGTTAATGAGTGTTCACACCAGCCGTGTGGGAATGGCACATGTACAAACTCTATTGGCTCATTTAACTGTATCTGTCATCAAGGATTTGAGCTAGCCAGTAATAACTACTGTACAGGTAATGGTGTTGTTCCCTTAAACGTTTTTTTTTTTTTTTTATATGTGGATTTGTACATTTGAATGTTCTTTGGTAACACTTTACAATAAGGTCTCATTAGTTAAGTAAGGGATAATGTACATTCAGACAGATGTTATCGTAGAAATAACCCCAACAGGGTGATCAGGACCCTGACACAAAGTGGTAACAACTGGCTGGATGGACATTATCCCGCTTATTACACGACTACTTGCCACAAATGTAAATAATTGTAAAGTAATTTCTTTCTTCCAAAAATGTTGAAAAACTAATCCATGCCTTTATCTCTTCCAAGCTGGATTACTGTAATTCTCTTTATTTAGGGATTAGCGAATCAGAACTGTCCCGATTACAGTTAGTTCAAAATGTGGCAGCTAGACTCCTGACTGGTGTTCAAAAACGGGACCTTATCACTCCAGTTTTACGTTCCCTGCACTGGTTGCCAGTGTGCTACAGAGTAGATTTTAAAATATTACTTCTTGTCTACAAATCATTAAATGGTATGGCACCATCATACCTTTCTGATTTACTGACTGAGCATCATCCAACCAGAGACTGTTGTTCATCCCTAGGTGGATGTACAAATGTAGAGGTGACTGTGCTCTCTCTGTAGCTGCCCCCAGACTCTGGAATGGCTTGTCCATTTCTATCAGACTTGCTGCCTCTGGATCTTTTTTTAAGTCCAATCTAAAAGTCTATTTGTTCTTGATAAGGTTTTATTGTTTAAATTTTTTAGTAATGTGTTTGTTTTTTATTATTTTTGTTGTAAAGCACATTGGACAACTTGAGTTGCATTTAATGGTGCTATATAAATAAAAATGCCATTGCCATTAAAATAATTAGACATTTTTATTAGCTCTTTAAATGCAAAGCTTCCTCAAAGAAAAACAATTCCTAGCCAAGACGAAGTTCTGGCCATTTAAGCCATAATATACATTCGCATTACTAATTACACAGCTTTTCTCCACATAAATAAAGACGAGGACATAAAATGATATTTGAGAAGAAAGTGTTTAAAAATCTTACCCATCTGTTATCTTAAATCCATGACAGTGTACAAAACAATCGTTCTGGCAACAAGACAAACACTTTTAAATATTACTGCAAGGCAACTATTAATACTGAAGTCCTCTGGATTCATTTTACAGTAAATACAGATGATAACTGAGGGACAAGATGATAGCCATTGTGTTTGAATGAAACAAAAGAGTATGATGTGAGAGAAATGAAAGAAGCACCGGCCTCAAATACCTGTATTAGTGGGTATTATTCGCCATTGCTAATGACGGCAGTTATAACACACCCATGAATGTCGTGACTGACCAATCAAAATCAAGTATTCCAGAGAACTGTGTACTGTAATAACATTAGTTAATGCATTAATTAACATTAAGCAATACATATGTTAACAGTATTTATTAATCATTAATGTTCATTAAAAACAAAATACAACTATTAAAATACAACTATCCATCATAAGTCCATGTCAGTTTAGCATAAACAAAGATTAATAAATGCTTTAGAAGTATTTTTCATTGTTAGTTCATGTCCACTAATGCTGTTAACAAGTGTAAACAAATGGAGCCGTATTGTAAAGTATTACCTGTTCATTTGTTGATTTCATGTTAAAAATCTGCTTACTCTCTATTCCTTATGTTAGTTTGATTGATTGATTTAGTTATTTTTCCATTTGTCTAGAAATGATCTAAAGCGATCTCACTTACCTTCACTGCGTAAAGGGTTTTTGAAATATGATCAGCTAGTAGTTGAATCTTCTGAATGTCTCATTGACGTCTTCTGTTCTCATGCCGTCTCTAGATATTGACGAGTGTGCAGTTTTTCACTCTCAGCTCTGCAGGAACGGCCGCTGTGTTAATAATGTCGGCTCCTTCCAGTGCCTCTGTAGAGAGGGCTATGAGCTCACTCGTGATGGAAAGAGCTGTATAGGTAAACTATTATTTACTTCATTCTCAAGTGTTGTTAACTGTTTAGACTGAACTATCCATCTGAGACTGCAGTAGGGTAGACAGAGAAAGCTGGAACATGTTTTGCTTTTTACATTACCACACAAACAATTGCAACTTATTACATCATTTTTATGTGATTTCTATTTTATTTGGTTACTAATAGAGATCCACAGTTCATAAATACAAGAAGTAATTTTGTTGTACCCAAGTCGGGTACAGTTGAAACAGTCATTTTAAAAAGAAGCTTAACCACCTAATTTCAATTTAAAATGTCTTGAAAGATACAAAAAATGACTTAATTTCAGCTTTTCATTTTATTACTGTTCTTCATTATATACAACTGATAATTTGCTGCTGTAAATCACTGATCAATTAAGATTAAAAATTCAGATTAGGAATAATAAATCTCTAAAACATTGATCACTTAAGAACAAGTATGTGACTGTAAAAACAAATAACATTCATGCTCATATTCAGTGAGTAACGTGCATTAATCAGATTACTTTTACTCAGTTCCGTCAGTTAACTGAGTAAAAGTACTCAGTTAGTTAAGCGTGGCGTGAGATGCAGTTGTGTGACACAAAAGGATTCTTCAGCTGGTACTGTGTGTCTCATCTGTACCCCGCTGACCACCCCACACATCTCTCTAAATCGCACAATAGCCCTGAAAGGCACCATGTTTTGACAGACTAAAGTCCACAAACATCACCTGACAAGAAGCAACTCGCTGTTAAAGGCAGATGAAGTTAAATTCTTAGCCCTAAAAATAGACTTTGTTCAATCAATATCTTTGGATTAGAAAACCGTACACCCTTTAAATGTTCCCCGATGGAAGAGGACATAACTATGCATGTGTGGAGCAAAAGACATAGATCTCACACAAGTTATTAAATGTGATTCAACTGTCTCTCTGTTCTGAGTTCATGTGTGGTCTACCCCAATGTATTTCTCCTCTTATTCATATTTATCAGACACTTTTATCCAGAGCCACTTACAAATGAGAAATTCTCATAGATTAATAGGGTTGGAACTTCCATTATTTACCAGTTTTGTTCGTTTGAAATAAAAATGCTAACAAATGATATGATGTAGATATTCAGTGTAATTATACAGTATTATTTTGTTCTTGGATTTGTAGTCCTATATTATAGGAGTCCTATAGTATCATAACTGTTTGCCTTGTTTTTTGATAAATGCAGATGTTAATGAGTGTAAATTGAATCGTGGGATATGTGCTCCTGGAACGTGTGTGAATCTGGATGGTTCTTTCAGATGTGTCTGTCCTGATGGGTATATTGTCCACAATGAGCACTGTGTAGGTAAGAGCACCACTTCAAATGCCCACCAAGAGATTACAGTATACAGCAGAAATTAGTTCACCCCTGTGCAACATCACTAAAATATCAAACGGCTCAAAATTAAATCACCTCTCAATAATTGCATTATTTAAAAATACTATATTGAACTACTACTACTATATTTTAGGGAGTACAGGCCCCAAAGTAGAAACACAAGTGAATACACGAGTGATCACATTCAAAAACCTGTGTTCGGTGAAACAAAAACATTTGAAACACCAGAACTTTCTCATTTTGGAGCCTATTGGACGTGTCTGCATAGACAGGAATTGTTAGACTTCTCAGAGATGGAAGATGGAGGATTCAAGAAGATCGGTGACCCACTGAAAATGAGTGGAAATACAGTATTGCACCAGTAATCTAGAGGTACAGAATGAGCCAAAGTACCACTAATCAGAACTGTAGTGGCCGTTCTGCGCTACTTTCACAATTATCTAAAAATTACACAAGAGTATGTTGCCTGACTTGAATCCAATAAAACATACAAGATTTGAATCTCAGTAATGAAAGCTGTACTGACTTTTTGTTAAATGAAGTTCCTCTTGTGGGGTCTGAATTGCTAATATAGTAAATCTAAACTGTTTTTAATTTTACATAGGCACATACTGTATACTCTACTCTTCAAGTCAAGTCAAGTCACCTTTATTTGTATAGCGCTTTATACAAAACTGATTGTGTCAAAGCAACTTTGTAGTGCCAAATAGGAAAATAGTTTGTCAATAATGCAAGAAGCCAATAACAAAGAGTCATTTTTTCCAACTAAAGTCAGTTCATTGATGATTCAGTGATGTCATCATCCAGTTCAGCTCTCTTCCAATAGTGTCTGTGCGATCAGTCAAGCGTCCCCAACTAAGCAAGCTAAAGGAATCAAAACTCCATCGCTGACAGAAATGGAGAAAAAAACCTTGGGAGAAACCAGGCTCAGTAGGGGGCCCAGTTCTCCTCTGTCCAGACAAAACCAGCATGACGTGGTTTAATTCCAGTCTGTAACACAGGTGCAGAGGACTTGTCTGGTTCCCGTGGTCTTGTGCCGCTGGTCGTCGAGGTGATGAGGTCTTCACAGGGGATCTGTCTCTGGGGCTCATCTAGTTGACATGGTCTCCGCTGACATTCAAGGCTGTAGAGGTCATCTCCAGGGGCCTCATTTATAAAATGTTCTGTATAAACCGTCCTAAATTTGTTCTAAGATCATTTCACAAAAGTGCGTAAGTGCGATTCAGAGAAAACGAATGTGCGCACAAAAACACGCGCGTACGCCTCTCTTCCAGATGTGACATTTATAAATAGCAAATGATCTTGAAAAAGTGCGCAGCTGACTGGTGTCAGATCTCCGCCTTGTAAACGCCCCCTAATTAATATAATTACCATATAAAAGAGCACACGCCAATATCTAAATTTCTATGCTTGAGAATGACGAGCACAAAAGAAAAAAACTTTACTGAGTCTGAAATTGAGGTCCTGCTGGCGGAGGTAGAGGTTCGTG